TACTGGATAGTTAAGACCAAGATATAGCAAGACCTATATACCCAGAAATGTAACTTTTGTATCTGATAAGGTCAGCCAAGTACTCTCAGGATTTACCCTGTAGCCCTGTACTGCCTTTTGTACATCCTTTTGTCAGTGTCTGACATGAGGATGAGTCACGGCAATTGCTTGACCAATTTGCTCTCTGTGAAAGCTTGAGAAAATGTTTTTTTCTCTCCATGTTAGTCCACGTTTTAGAGCTCTTTTGACTGAAAGAGCCTATTACTAACATAAAACTTAAATTTCAATTGAAACCAAGAAAAGTGTACTTTTAGACAGGCAAGGGATCCTAATTGTTCTTTGTGATTCAGGACAATGTGACAGCAGAAGCACTCGTCAGTTTGGACAAGAAGTTATTCGACCTCTGCCTGACACTCAGTCAGTGCCTCGGCAACGTGGAGGAGCTGCAGCAGATGCCGGGGCTGCTTCGCGAGGACGCGCCGGGCCAGCAGGCGCACTGTGAGGTGGGCCTTCGCATCCCATCTCGTGTCCTGTCCCATCCCGTCCCCCTGGCTCTCAGCCCGGACTAGCAAGCCGCATGGGATCCGTGGTCATTCTCTGCCTTCCTTCCTGTCCACTTCACAGGAGCTGGCTCTTGAGCTGAAGAAACTGTGCTTGGCTCTGGGTGACAGGAAGAATGATACTTGGCCTGGCACGAATGCCAGCTTGCTCCGTGACTGCTTCAGTGGCCTCCACGCCTGCCTAGAGCGAGCGCAGGTGAAGGCTGCCTGGAGAAGCAAGTCGCTGAAAGCTGGCCTCGACTACGCCCGCAGCTATCAGGTACGGTGTCCAGCCCAGGCCGCTTTTTTCTAGCCTGAGTTCATCCTCCCAGGATGACTAGGAATTGCTAAGGAAGGTGGTGAGACCCTCCTACCCTTGTGGCTGAGACACATTGGAAAAGGAAGCCCTCTCTAAAGCTTGTGTATAGGTTGTTTTATTGTTTGGTTTTTTTTTTGTACTGGGGATCAAAGTCAGGACCTTGCACTTGCCTGGCAGTCGTTTATGCCACTGAGCTATCTCCCCCTGTGTATGGATTTCCTAGGATAAGCTTCATTTAAAGTTTCTTTGCTTGGGGCTGGAGAGATGGCTCAGTGGTCTAAAGCACCTACTTAGAACAAGCTTAGCAAAAGCATCAGGGACCGTGGTTCAGTCCCCCAGCACCACATGCCAGCCAGCCC